AAACTTGGGGACATGGGAGACTGCAACTGCAAACATCCAAAAAAATAAGCTAGCAACAAGCCAACCATGTCAGTGGCTCAAAAATCAGATGCTGCCACCCCAACCCCCCATGGCAAATGGAAGGAACATCAAGTAAAACCTGCTTGTTTCCGGGTCTTACTTTTTTGCGCCACATCCAATATACATGCCACTGCATGATTGTCATTTGCCAGGAACACTTTCATCAAGTCAACCTCTTACAGTAGATGCACAACACCAACCATCACCCTCATTCGAGCTCGCCCAGTTCGAGCGACTCCTTCCGTTAGGTGCGACCCATCCGCTCGCGCCGGCATTCGCCTTCGTGCTCGACCTGGCGCGCCGGCATGCGCGGCCGAGGCGGCATCGGGTCCTCCAAGTCGCTCAAGACCATCTCCGCCTGCCAAAGCTTGGCTGCAGCTAAGCCCAGTAGCCCGAGCCCGGCGCCCAGCTCCAACACGCGCGCGGCCGCGTGGGGGTGAGGCCATTGTGAGGCCAGGTGAGTGGCAAAGGCGCGGCTGGAAGGCCACACTTGCCTTACAAAAAAGCGAGCAAGGCCTAGGGCATGCTTTTTGGATGAAGTTTTGATGATTTTTCTTTTGAACATTAGTCGCCTAAGTGTGGTCAAAGGCATTCTGTTTCACATGCTTGCTCTATTTTAGATATTTTTGCCGTCAGAGCAGTCTAGCTGACGAAATGATGGGCAGGAGTCTGTGATCCAATCTATTTGCCATTTCAGCTTGTGAGCGACAAACCTCTCGGACAAAATCTGCCACGGGAAGTATCTGGCAGACATGACAGTATACCTATACATGATGATGCAGTTAAGGGGCGCTCCAAGGAACATGGATGGCATTGAGCAAAGCCTGCACAGCGGCATTCAAATCTCCAAGTAACACATAAAGACTCATAGTTCTCATTATTGGCATAGTCCACCGCATCACTGCTTTTTCCTCTTCACATGTCCAAGAGGAAACCGTGAAAGACCTTGGTTTCATGATGGAGACATTCCATCGATGGCCTCAACGTCCAGCCATGGCCCAAGTCCACTTCCTCCGGATGCTCCCAGCGCCGCGCCCGCTGCCGCTGCAAACGCTCTTCATGCAGCGTCTTCAGAAGGTCTGAAGAATAGCCGCTGGACATGGGTCGTGTGAGGCGAGACACCCAAGATCTTGCAGTCAAGAGAGTGTCCTGATGAATGATATCGATTGATGAATTTAATCATAGCAAAAAAATTGCACATATACACTCACATAACTTTTTGAACAAATCTTCAGGCAACATCTTACGAGTACATTCATCTTTGCTCGATCCGACCTGATTCGGGATTTGTCTCAAGCAGAAGGTCCTGGTGGGTAGGATCGCCTGATTGTGGGTTTGCCGATGTTTCTCGAGCCAGCATGTTGGGCTGATCGGCTGATATCGTGGCCATGCTGGCGGATGATATTAGATTCAACCTTTCCAAGGCACATTAAAGAACATTTAAACTCAACGCGCATGGGCTTCATCGACCTAGGTTTGGTGACTTTCTGGACTGTGACCCCCAAATCAGTTGTGGTCACATCTCACTATGAAGACCTGCAAAACCATCGCTTACACGGCCTGCACGTGCTTATGCCAACATGTGCTTATGCCAATCAGGCACCAAAGCCGAAAGTGTCTTCAGATACATCAATGGCGCCGCGGCCGCAGTCGTGGGCTTCTTCGGATAGGCCGCGAGTCGGGACATGTTCACGGAGTCCAGCTGCCAGCTGGAAGGAATTGCTGGGAAAAACGGGCGTTGCCTTCAAGGAAACCCTATTGGGGGTTGTTTTCAAAACACCTCAGCCCAACTGCAACCCAAACCAAAACCCGGATTCTAAATAACTCCTGACCAGCCGACCTCAACTAAACTCTTTTCGTGCCTTGAAGGCTGTCTCGTGTTCTTTCCAAAGGTCCTTAGCTGTCTCAGGCTCCCTCACGTCCATCTGGTGAACTGCACTGAAAACGAAACATGTGCCCTCTTGTTACTCTAGAGCTTGGCACAGCGCGTGCTTGGCTGAATGGACTTCAGGGGGAGGATGGGGAGGCGACTTTCTCTGAAAGCTGGTAAATATATAGTACGCGGGGTGTCCCCAAATCCCAGGTGTTTTTCAGGTTATCCATGGTTATCCACGTACTTCCTGGGTCGGACAAAGACTGGGATGCCTAGTCGACCTCGGAGGCGTTAGGCCAGCGACCAGTGCGCCAAGCCTGTCCCGACCCCGGTTCAAAAAGGAGTCTGTGAGGGGCAAGTGATTGTTGCAAGTGCAAGTGAAAATGGTTGGTTTGTTTTTTGGGTGAAATATGGTGAAATGTAGACTCTTGATTACAATAGACCTCCCATTTGGAAGTGTAAAAACATGTAAAAGCCTCTGCTTCCTGGGGGTATTATCAATCCAAAGTCTACATTACTTACCTCACACCGACACCGGGATGGCGAGCCATCCCGATACAGCGGAAGTTACAACGACCTGACTGAAGCCCAAACCCATCGTCTCAACGCCATCCAGGCAGCGGATTTCATGGAATCCAGCTCCTGAACCGGGCCGCCCTGTCGCTGTTCAACAGTGGATGTGTGGTCACCCGGTCTCCAACAACCGCGCCAGGTGACAGCGGAGAAAGCCCAGGTGGTGTTCTAAGTAGAATCCAGTTTGGCGTGCTGATGGAGTCTGGACCGGCGTCCTTCCCGAGCCCCCGATCTATACTTCCAGGCGTGTCCTTTTGTGAGGCGATGCTATGCTCCACCAAGCTCTTGGCGTACCTTGGCAGCTGAGCGATGCTATGCTCCGACCTCCGGAGCGATCGAAGACCCACGTCTTCGACGTGCGGAACGTGCAAGCCGAGGGAAAAGAACTCCATCACCTGCCAAGCCAGGTTTACTTTCAAGAAAATGGAAGTGGTTCAGGCGTTCACTGCGTTCACCCCCCCCAAAAGAATGTCCTCAATTCAACCCCGCTGGCCACCCACACATGCCCAACCACTCCAAATCAACCTCAAGCGTGCATCTTGTGGCTGGAGTCCCTTGTTGAGCTCAGAAATGTGAGTTTTCTCCTTCGCACCACCCAGCTTGCCCGTGAGTTCATCTGCAACACCGGTGCTTGCCAAGTCACACCGCCTCTGTTCGTGGATGCTTGTTAATCTGCTTGTACAACACCGGTTGCGTGTACCTTAATCTTATTCAACGGCCAACGTCTGAATGTGCAATGGTAGCAGCAATCCACTTCTGCAAACGTGCCATGCACAAAAGGCAATGGTATAGACCAGGGCCGTGGTTGATGGACACCGGACACTTCTTAAGCTTAGCGGCCCTGGTACAATCTAGAAGAGCATTTTAGATCTAACCAATGCTTTAGCAATCACGATCCCTCACTTCAACTATCTATTGTGACGACAGCTCAACTTCGAAAGCCCTCCTCGCAACTTAACTCTGCTTGCACACCGTTCCGACCAATATATCAGCGCTGCCTAGACTCTTGACTCATTCATCAACTATAGAGGTTGAAAGTTCAGGGTCATTTCTTCGTCACCCCTGCCCCGGTGGCAGGAAAGGACCATTTGGACAGCCTGAGAGGCACCAGGGAGGCAGGAAAGGACTCATTGGACTTCTTCTTTCGTCGCAAAAAAACACCGGCGTTTTCGCGTTAACCGAGTGGCTCCGGCGCGTCGGTCTCGTTGTGCCCGAAACGGCGGTAGCAAATCTGAGCGCTCGGCTGGAACTCACGTGCGACAAATAGGTGTGCTACATGTGAGTTTACCCTAGGGCTCCAACCATATCCTCAGAAGGTGGTTAGACCCCCCACCCCAACCATCTTCTCAGGAGGTGGTTGGAGCCCTAGGGTTATGACACCTCTCTGGAACTCACCTGTTTTCGTAAAAGAGTCCTCCAAGAGGCCATGCCATCCAACCACGTGAATTCCTGAGAGTTATGGCTTGTGCACCTGACAGCTCCTGTGTGTATATCATACGCTTCAAGGTCTAGCCAAAATAATCCAGCCGGCATGGTATATATAAGAGTGGTCCGCACATAGATCGATTGAACTTGTGAGCTGTTTTGGAGGAGATTTGATTTGCTATCCATTCTGAAGTCACTGTGGCTAGCTACTCTGATGCAAGGGAGCCAGACTTTATGAGTGCCAAAGGGAGCAAGAATCTCCTGAGACTTCGAGGAGTCTGAGATTAAACTTCCCAAAGTGGTTCAACATCTTTCAACGGCGCCATTACCAGCTATGGTTCACTATATGGTACAATATATGGTAATATGTTGCAATATATGGGTTAAAATCATCATAGCTGAGATGTTCAATATATGGTTCACTTGCTACGATCCATCACTCAGCTACCTCCAGGCTGCTCAATGACCCTCACCTTGGCCACAAGTGGCATACCAATTGCCACTACTTGGATTTGCTGTCCAGGAACCTGGACAAATAAACAGATATATTATCAACATGTATCAACTATTCCCCAGGTTTGGGGGATTTAACGATTTAACCGTTAGAATTTAACCAGTTCGGAAAAACATCACCTGATCCGCAGTCTGCCAGGACTATCGTCACTGACCCAGCTCGAGCTTGGAGGTGCAGCTCAGTGGCCACATCTAGAATCACCTGACAGGTCACCCGCACGCACGGACCAGTCAGCTCTCGCTGTACTGACTCTGAGCCTCCACCATGAAACCGGAACATGAAGGTGAACCGAATGGGGTGCCACCGCTCCAAAAGACATGTTTTTCAGGTTATCCACGTGCTTCCTGGGTATGTGTAAAAGATGCTTCAGTAATACGACCAGACCAAGTAGAGCTGCAGAGCGGCTACATGATCATTTTACTCCCAGATTCTCTGATAACTGTGCTTTACATTGCTTTACAAGATCTATCTCATGTGGTCCCTTGCGTCACTGTCAGAAAAAATAATCGCCTAACCACATTCAAGGAAACATCCCCTCTGATCTCCTGCTCACTATTAAAAGAAGAACTTGCACAGCAGCATCCAACCACTGGAACCGCCCACGGGGCGATCATCTGCCTTTCCAAAAACTGCTCTCCGAAACACGTCGAATCGTTTGCCCCGAACCAATGCAAAAAGAGAAGACAAGTCGAACTCCCCTCCCTCTTTTTGGCCACCACATCCTCCTCCCACCACCTAGTCGACGCGACGGCGAAGCTTTTGTTTCCCACACGTCGGGCTGATCGCCATCGAACCCACCCAAAAACAACCAATGGGACTGGCTACACTATGGGAGCCATGTTCGCTACGTTCGGAACCCGGGCATCGCTACTTACTCGGAGCGTTTGGACGCTACGAACGGGGCTCCTGGCCTTACTAGCGGACGCTACGAACGAGGGTCGAGGGTCTACATGGACTCCCCTGGCACCACCCCTAGGCCTTCCTCTCTCGGGCGTCACCGATGGCGGACCAAGACCCGAGGCACATCGGTCTGCCAATGTTGACGCCACTCCGCGGCCAACTCAAAGGCACTGATCACGGCCACGGGGTCATCGCCATTCACCTAGAGGGGTCTGGGGTCGAGTTGAATGCTGGGCCGAGTTGCTTGCGATGGAGGAGGAGGAGAAAAAGGATCTGTGCTGTTTTGGGGGGGACATGTGCCATGAATAAATAAACGAAATCTATATAATAACTTAATAGTTGATTGAATATCGACTGAGAGGTGAACAGGTGGATGGGCCTACAAATGAGTGTCCATCTGGGATTGGCCCAGATTTTTGGGGAACTGGACTGGACGGTGACGGTGACAAGACTCTGGGCAGGATGTTAGTTGCCTGCGTACATTTACAGAGATTCCAATTTACAGTAGACAGTAGAACTGAAAGGAATGGATGGTTTGAACAAACAGAAACAATCCTTCTGAAGAATATCCGCTGGCTGCAAGGAATCCATTTCAGCATCTGACTATCATGCGACCTGCCTCCTCATGCCCTTCTGGGATGGGCACCAAGACATTCAAGGGAATTTCTGCCAAGGCACGTGCAAGATTGGAAGGTTGAAGGTCTTGCCTCATAGAAAGCATTCAAACATCAAAGAAAATGAACACGTAGGATATGGAGGGAAACTTTGTGATCTAATCTATTCAATGCAATGTGAACTCAAGAGCATCTGTCGATATCCTTGCTACAATTTGTTTCTGCACGTGCTGCGACCGGTGCTAGAACTAGACCTCACGCTGCGCTGTTGTAGAATCAAACATTTTAAGTAATAACTTAACAAACATTAAAGGTTTGTCACTGCTCACCTTGGACCTGCAAGAATAGCCCTTGACGGTGACCATGGTTTCCACGATGTCTCATGATTGCGCCTTGCAGGAAAAATGATCATCTATCCCCAATCCCTTCCAACCTCCCGCGTTTTGCTGTGTTTTGGAGCTACCCAGCCGCCCCCCACCCCACCCCATGCCGCCGATCTCATACCAACCAGCTGCCAACATCAGAGGTGTACATGGTGGATCGATCGTCCACAGGATCCGTCGTAAAGCCCACCTGAGGGATCCGTCGCGGTCCAACAGAGGTGGGTCAGAACCCCTAGGCTATCCTAGTTCGGTACCCCAGGTTTTCCGGGTCCGAACGTTCAGGTCACTGGATACCTCCGTTGGGTCGGACCAGGCGACGGCGATCGCGGTAGCGAAGAAAGCGTGATCTGTTGGGTCTGGAGAGATCGGGGATCGATCGTACGTTTTTGGTCATTAAGTGACCTGAACGTTCGGACCCATAAGGCTGGGGTGCCATAGTCAACAGTCGGGTTCTGACCCACCTAGAGGTGGCATCCTCGAAATCGGTGGCGTTGGTTGGCACACTGGTTCAATCGAGGCAACGTAGGAAACCATTGGGTTTCACAAATGGACGAACCTCCTTTCCCCTCCTTGTGTGACTTTTTCCGTGCGAAGTCTCGTCTACCGCGAAAAAAGGAAAACAACAAAAACGCGCGTCAATTCTGATATCACCGACAGCGGCCAGCAGCTGGCCAGCCCGAGCCTGATTATTGATAATCACGTGGATGGTCCCACCGACATCGAACTCCTGGGAGTTCACTGCGCTGCAGATTGACAGATGCACTGGCGAGGCTTGACCGGCCACCCCCGCCCCAAAAGAGAAAAATGAAACACTGGCAATTTGGTCATGTAGACTTTTTGAGTATAATAGCAAAACCCCCTACATGAAGACGTTGACCATCCAAGTGGAGGGGGTTATCAATCAAGAGTCTACATTAGGGCCAGCAAACTCACCTTCCTCTCATTCCAAACATCATCTGTGCCTGCTGTGTCTGCTGTGCCGCATGTGTTTGTTTTTTCATGTGCTGACTGACTCCTTGAAAATAGAAGTTTATATAACCTAGTTAACCTTCTTCTACTGTATCTGTTCGCACCCATCCCGCCTCACATCCGAAGCAACACTGCAAACACTCTGGTCGTAGCAGTGAAAGAAACACCAAACACAAAAAGCCAACGAACACCGCCGAAAACACATTTTCTATCTGTTCTATCTGTTCTACCACCATAGTGGGGTGCCACCACTCACAGAACAGGTTTTTCAGGTGATCCACGTGCTTCCTGGGTATGTGTGACATCTATGTCGACCTGCCCTTTGGGGTGGTCGTTCCAGTGCTGGATGTTCGCCGGCGAACGGTGCCCACGGCCGCTGCCCACGTCCTTCACGTGAGCCAGTTGCATGGTCTCATAAACAACTCCCTGACCAGCAAAGGAAGCATCCTGAGCCGTTTTTTTGAGTCTTAAGGAGTTTGAGGGACATTTTGTCGGACGGAAATCGGTCAGCAAGAGCAACACTTCTAGTTGAAGATCCATCTCCAAAACAAGTGGTCTTTCACACTCTGTTGCAAATGTAGGCTGTGGGATTTGTATGGATCGGCGGCAGCTTTGGAGGAAAACACCAAATCACATGGCATGAAAGGAGCGTCTTCAAAACAACACTTGATGCTTGAATCCTCTCTGTGCTCCAAGAGTGCTCCACACGTGCGAGGCATTCACAAGACGATGGTACTGACTGCCGTCAAGCATCGCCATGGAAGAGAATAGGTAGAACCCGCGTGCGGGACTCAGCATCGTTGCCCAAATAGTACCTCGGCCATGGCGATGTCGGAACGGAACACTGAGGTGGTGGTCTGTGCAACCTACTGATCAGAGCTGGTTAGGCCTTGGCACTGCCCCCTCATGCTCCGTGACACGACGCCCGACCGGTCCCTCAAAAACCTCGGGATTTCAGAGGATTCGGGGCCGAACGGGTCGCGTCTGGGTGGTGCAGAAATGGTAGGATCACAAATCATGGCCGAAACGCTCGTTTCAGCTCCGTGTCTTGACACCATTCATCGAGGAATGGAGCCAGCATCGAAGGCCCCAAAACCACTATAAAAGATTCTCACCCACTGCAAGCACCGTACCCAACATATAGATCCAGTCGTACCTTGTCAGAATTAAGGTGAGGAAGGCGCGATTTCTGTCTGGTGAGATCAAATTTGGGCAAGGACACAAGTGAAGTGAGGCCTATTATGTAATTAGATGGTTGATTTAAACTAGATATGCTTTTCAAACACATAACATACTTTAAAAACAACCAAAATACTATTTCTATTTTACTAAAGCCCCCCAACCCGGAGAGGTAAGACATTGTAAGACCATCTATTCAGCCCACGACAGACCTTCTCGGACAGACTCTCGGACCTTCTCCCAGAACGTCGACGTTTCTGGACTCGGTCCGGCGGTGGTTGAATCACACGTGGTGGTGCTGAGACCAAGTGATGCAAGGGTGTTATTAGGAACCTAGGGTGTGTGTGTGTATATATACCCCTCAAGCAGGGAACCCTAAAAAAGCAAGGTTCCTCAGATTGTTCCGTCAAAAGTGATGCGAATGGAAAGAACCAGGTTTTGCACCTCCCATCCACTGAGAATGAAGCACATACATTTCTCTCTCAAATCCGGTGGATCATACCGGCTTCCGACCATGCAAAGTGTGCTGCTATGAGCCACCTTTGCAGTGTCCTTTGGACAATGAGATTCATTCGGGAAGTGACATGTCTCGATACTCTGCAGGCCTTTCCGATCAGGTCTTCATCGAGCTGCACCCCCCCAAGTCATAGGGTTTAAACAATACGGTGCTAGCTCTGCCTCCCAAGAGAGGCATCGAAAAATGTGGTCAAACATATGGATCTTTGAACTCCTGGTGCAAGTTTGCTCTGGACTATTCAATCCATGTGGCCACAACAATGTTCATCCTATTTGATCCATCGTCAGCTGTGTAAAGGCCCAAGCTCAAAAACCTGGTTTTGGTGAGCTTGTTCAGAGAACCTGGTCAAGAACCAGGTTTTTGCTGAGACTGTGGGACATAACCTGGCTTTGATTTGAGAACCTTGAAAAAGTCAGGTTCCAAGAGCAGAGGGTATATATATATATACAGTATATAATACGCACAAGATATAGAACCCAGTTGACTTCCTTTCTGATAGGAAATTTGCACATCATTCATATGTTGGAGAGTGGATCCTCCCAAATCGGAGTCACTCAGGTTCTAGCTAAGTACCCCTCTTCTATACTTCCACCTTGGGTCCACCCGTTGGTCCGGAGAAAAAACAAAAACACAAAAAAGCTCACTGAAACACCGGTCCGGTCGCTGTTTCGCTCTGGCTCGGCCCGAGGTGACCGTGTTCACCTCAGTTTTGAACGGGCATGGGTCGATGGAGGATAGAATCACTAGACCCTAGACTTCCGTTCGACCATTCAAGCAATGGTTGACCCGGTTTTTGTAGTATAAAATCCTGAGTTGATTCGGATTCAGCCTATTAAATCAACATCAATTAGTGGTGGTTGGAAGCCTATAGCCTATAGGGTAGAGTGGTTCCAGAGTAGATGGCACGGTCAGGCCCCCCCAGTTCAGTTGAGTCGTGGACAGTCATCGAATCTAACATGCAGGGGTGGTTCGGTGCCATCGAACCTCTGAAACCACTGTAAGTCACTACACTCGATGGCCCATGTCACGTCCACTCCCACTCACGTTCCATGGAAATGGACGTTCTGGGTCCAGGGAAGACCATCTTCCACAACAAACAGGTGGTGAACTCCACTTGCATGTGATGTGTTCGCCAAAGGGTTACATGGAAGTGGAACATAGGCCCCGGGAAAGCCGTGGAGAATCCTCTACTACGAACAGATGGCTTTAAACATGTCCATGTGATGTTTTGGGAATGTAAGTTTGGAGGTTTATTGCCCATCTAAAGACCTTGGAAACGTTCATTTCCCAACACCCAGAACATGTAAGAAGCCATCAAGAAGGTCAAGGTCCAGTTCTGTAGTGCCGGGCGAGCCAGTTGAAAACGCCCCAGACTTGACATGAAGGAGGGCTATTTCGAGTTGAAAGGAACTGCCTCAGAAGCTGAACAGCAATTGAGTCTCCAAATGAGCGACACCCAGTTGTCCAGACCGACGTTACGGCACTCGAACCCAGAACTGGGAGACTCCGGAACCACGTGAGGCCGGCAATCCAAAGCCAACTTTGCTGTTGGTCTTCCCTCTCTGAGCCTTTCCTAAGCGAATGGCTCGCCTCCGGGGACTCGCAGAGTACAGTTCTTCGAAGACCAAACCAATGCCCGCGATCCATGTTGATGTCAAGGGAGTGTAGACCCTGTAGATGTTGAGGATTCCCAGCAGCATGCATCCTGCCTTGAAAACCTCCACAAAGTCTGATACATAGCGTTTTTTGGCACGTCAATAACAAGCCACAGTGAAAGCGCATTCCAATATCATCCATGCAAAAAGCTCAACGCTTCTAAGAGAGCTCACGGCTCAACATGAATGACCAAATTCAAAGGGTTGCCGCACTTGTAGCACCAACTGAGCCTGATCTTGCTAGCAACTTCTATCCATCCGCTACATCCACTCCGGTCCCTTCAGAACTGCCTAACCCGCTACATCCACGACGTCTTGTTTGCCAGCCCAAGCTGCAGTCTCCAAATGGGAGGGGTTCGCTTCCAGTGTGGCCGTGATGGTGTTTCCACCCGGCAAGCTGAAGGTCTGCGCGTGGACCCGCGGCGCGTGCGACGGAGGTGGCTTTCTTGCGTTGGAACACCCGAGGCCGAACACTGATTAGGCGATGTTGAAATCACAACCTATGAAACAAAAGAGTGGTCTCCAAGTTTTGCAGGATTATCAACAAACGAGCTACGCTGCTACATGTGTAATTACACCCTATATTGACTAGAGGCACATCAGCATCCAGTCCAGAAACAGAAGTCCTCAGCATGACCTGCTTCTCTCAAGACTCTAATAGCTACACCTCTGAAGAGGCATTGTTTGGTGCCGCCCTAGAAAGACCCCACATGTTCAACCACCCCAACTGAGGACTGATGGCACCTCCAAACTCCTCGCTTTGTTCGCGCTCTAGACCTCCGCGCTCCGCGGAAGTCGAGTGAGCTCCGGTCCGGTCTCTTTCCTTCGTTCGGCACCTGGGAGGTTCCCAAGTGGTACTTCACATCCCCAGCGAAGAGCCAGTCGTCACCTTCGCTCCTAGTTCGGGCGTTGTTTCGGAGACGTCGGAAGGAGGCAGGGGTATTTGAGAGGGGAAGCCAAGGATCGGTTCAAACCCGGGGGCAAGTGGTGAGGACGTGGCGTGTTTGGCCAAACAGGCCCTTTTTGGAAGCTCAGATCAAGCCATCTTCCTGGAAAGTAAACCAAACAACATTTCCACCTGTTGCAATCTCCCATGCTAGCCATTGTGGCTAGCACATCGCTGACACTCTGGTCAGGCGACGTAAAAGAAAGAACCCGAGTGAAACCGAAAAAGCATCAAGCGAGGCAAGTCGAAAGAGGAAACGACCACGTGGCGAGGTTTTGGCCGCAGCCCTCAAGAAGAATGGTAGCGAAGGAACAAAGTTCGTCGGGTTGAAGCATTGGACGTGCGCCGAAGATCGCACCTTTCGGAAGTGCGCGTCCACATTTGTATGCTTCAGTGGCAATGTAAGTCCCTGGTACCAGCATCTGCCCAGGCTCCGACATGATGAAGACAACAGCCATTTTGAAATGTTTGGGAGCATCTTGAAATGAGGTACCAACCTCTGGAAAGCCCTGGAATTTGTGGCCCCTTCGAACAAACAGAAACAGGAGTTCAACAAAGGAGACGCCCAATGTATCATCAATTTTCCAACACAAAGACCCAAGAAACTGTTGTATGGTAAGGAAATCCGCTTCGTGGAACTTTGCACGCTTCGGAAAGGCAAAAGACCCCTGCTGCGGTTTCCACACAAAGTCATTGGGGTCCGGGTTCCATTCCCAAGAAGGGAAACGAGATTGAAGAAATTGGTCCCCTTGTTGTGAAATCTCCTCTTTCCACACTGTACCTGTTCTTATAGAACATTGATCGCCCACCAAGCGGTTCAACCGTGTGAGTTGCTCTTGGTGTGCAAACATTTGCTGTTGCAAGTAGTTGAACAACTCCGGTTTTATAGGAGTGCCACTCCAAGCATGGTGGCGTGCAATGTGGTCAGCTTGGCGATTGCGCAAGACTTGTAATTTCTGCGGGGTGTCCCCAATCCACCAATCCAAAGCTTTGGCAACCTCACCATCCAGAAATGGATGAATCCCCCCCCAACACCTACTTGTTAAAGGATCTCAAGACCTGCCATGATTGATTTGATGTTTGCTTTCTGTTGTTGGCTTCAGGGGTTCAGCTGGGCAGCGAGTGGCTCCGATCCGGTGCTCCAAGAGTCTTTTCCACCAAGCTTTCGAAATCGTAGTGCGTCCCCTGCAAGGACAGGCGGACGCAGACGCCGGGTGTACCGCGCTGGCTTTGGCGTCGACCTGGGGTGGCCACCCCGAAAAACCAAACAAACATGGAGTGAGTGGTGACAGGATCTCTCATATCAACGGATCAAACCCACTATCAAGCAAGGGCCGACTCAGGGGCCCAGAATTAGCATGTCCCAAATCCCAAACGAAAGGTGGAACAGGATTCGTCTGATTGATCTCGGGACCCAGTCCCACAGGTGTTTTATTCCTTCAGAATCCTTAAGCAAAGGGCCTTTTGCCAAGGGTTCCACAACACTGGGATACTGTTGCGTGGCGATAGTGTGAATCTTTTGAGATATCGTTTGAGCTAGTGAGTTCGTGGGAAACACTGTCCAAAGTCAACTGACAGTGCTTGTCCACTGAACTCCTGCTCTGGAACCCGAGCTCCGAAAACATCTGGTTATACCCAAGCTCCGATGGCAGGCCTTGAACTCAGCGAACATCTGCACCAAAGGCTTCCGAACCACATTTGTGAGCACCTCACGGCCGAGCTGGGTCGAGCTCGGGGCCACATGTGCCCATGTCGCCAGGTCAGTTGGTAACAGAACATGAGCTTCCAAGTGGGAAAGAAGTTGTGTTGGTAAAGAATATCAGTTCCCAACACTTTTCGAATTTACATTGATCAAGAACCAAATTGTGGTCACACATTCACCAAGAGAATCTTGATACGAGTAGATTAGCATTCACTCCACATTCACGCACAAAAAAAAACAAACATACCCACCACGTCAAGGCAGGTGTCCCCATTCACAACTATCTTCTAGTGACCAAAAAGCAATCAAACCTACAGTCTTGACCCCTCATGCCACCTCCCCCCCCAAAGAATAAAAAACACAAGGCCATCCAAAGATGATCACCGCCACCCTGTTGACCCAAAAGGCGTTCAATCGCCCTCGATGGGGCATTCCGAGGACGCACTCCGTCATGCCCAGCGCCGCGGCCTACAGGTGACAAAGTGACCCACAAGCAAGCGTGTCGAGGGTGCATCTTCCCTTTTTGGCCACTCAAAGGGAATCAGTGCTGAAGTTGGCGCTCTAATGGTGGAAGATAAGGGGACAAACAAAACCGCTGGCCTCTGCACCCAACGGAATGATACGGGAATGTATCTTCTGTACAACCCAAACCATCCGTGTATGGCATATATACCCATAGTGAGCCCAGATCAACCATCCTGATGTAGGTCAATAGGCCAGCCCCATGGGGGATAGTCTGCGCGAGTTTCGTTCAGCAGTTCACCCGAACTGATGCTAGCGCTGCTAGGCGAATGGTGAAGCAACCGGCAGGACACACAAACCGGAACACCTCCTTAAAAAAATAGGCCTCAAAAAGCACACTAAACATGTTGGATTGTTAGATTCTCAAGTGTAGTATTGTAGTAAAGGTCTCTAGGGCTCCAACCATCTCCTGAGAAGATGGTTGGGGTGGATTTGGGGGGTCTAACCATCTTCTGAGGATGTGGTTGGAGCCCTAGGGGGTATATATAGAAGGTGCACATCAACCATAGTGCCGATCTCTGCCATAGGTTTGCTCCCGCCCTCCTCTCTCTCACACACACTCACACGCACTTTCTCTCGTGTTCCATGCTAGGCCAGGTCCAACCATCTTGGAGCAAAGCATATGAAACGCAAAGAACAGGCTCATGCACCCGAATCTGCAGATCTCCAAAATAGAGGCTTGGGTGTCGGGCCGGGTGACCGGTAGAGCCGGGCGCTGGGATAGGTGCTAGCGTTGCTCCAAATCAGCCCCTTCTGGCGCCCCTTCTCTCCATTCCTCGTTCTGTCCTCGCTCCATCCCCACTCCCTCCTTCTCAATGGCGGCATTCACGCCTGGACGCAGGAAGACGAACGCTGGATCCAGGACGTGCTCAGAATGTGTCCAGAAGGGTTTCGATTTTTGCTCTGCAGGAGGGAGAGTCTCAACCTCTGTGGGGCGGGGTCAAATCCCACCAGCCCGGCTGGTCGAGACCAGGTGTTCAGGGGGTCTTCTGAATGGTCCTTGACCGAACCTCTGTGCCAACATGAGGGGTTTTCTCCATACCAATCGACGTTCTAGAAAAAGCACCTAGTCCGGCGAGCGAAGAAAAGGAGTACTGCAGTACTGCAGTGTCTCTTTCTTTGATTGCACACATTCACTCCCAATCTTCACTCCCCAACTGAGGCAAGAGAAAGAACTGAAGGCGAGGTCAGCTGATGCTCCAAGGAGTCTCTTTGGGACTGTGACTTCCACGTGCACCCATTAAACCTGTTCCATCGGTGTCTTCCTGGTGGTGCTCATTTCCAGGGAATTGCAGCAAAATCTTAAACCTCCAAGTGTTCAAGAATTAGTGCGTTCCTAGTCTGTTACAATGCTTGAGGCTAACTGCCCATATGTCACAAGAATTCGCAACAGCTGAATTCAGACCTCTAACTATGCTTAACTACTCCAACTGAGTTGGTAGCACCACATCACCCATTCACTCCCAATCTTCACTCCCCACACCACGTCCCAACTTTGCCCGGCCTGCGACGGCGGCTTCGCCGCCATCCACGCCAAAGCGCTTGGTGGTCTTGTACCTCAGTGCTTCCAAAAAGAAGTTCCACGTGTTGGTCTATAGAGTCTATAGGGTTCTGCGACCTCTGTTGGCTGGTGGTCTTGGGTGCAGAAAGAATGTCTTGATCCTGGCTGAGGTTTCTTGCTCGTGGATGGAGAGTTGGGAAAAAGGGTCGACCTGAAGATTCGGTTTCATCCCTCCAGCAGCTGAATGGCACATTAGCTCTGTAGCGGAAGCAAAGGTTCGCAATACAGATTGGGCCCAGGCCCTAGAGGCCCTAGCCCCAGCGTCTTGATATCTTGCAAATACACGAAGGTGTAGCAAAATTAAGTCAAGAGTCTGCACGTTCAAGAACTGCTCGAAGGTGTCCTGGGTGCACCAAATATTTTGACACGTGCTTCAAGGAGACAAAGGCCAGCATGGGCCAACAACATCTTTTGGGCAGGTAAACTCTTGAAAAGCACCTGTGCTCATTGGTGTTTGATTGGTTTCCCTATTCATGATACTCCTTCTGAAATCCTTCTGTCAAAGGGTGGCAAATCGTGGGTTGCATATTTATGATTTACCCGCTGGGAAGTTGAGGCCTGTTGTCTGTGACCAATTGACAATCTTCATTCATTCTCCACTCTGCACTCCAAAATAGATAAAAAATGATATGAATTTATAACGTTTTATAAGCAATGGAAGTGCCTATTTCGTTTGAAAGTGTTCCGAAGCCAAGGTTCTTGCCATCCGAGGATGCGATCCTGTCTGACCCATCATGTCACCTTTAAAAAAAGGGCCACCAAAGAATTGGTGCTGTTTTTTGTGTGTTTTTCGGGGGCCATCCCCTTATGATACACTAAAACGGACTGTATATATATATTATACTTACATCCCTAAGCATCCCAACTTGATTGGGGCCCTCGCTCAGATAGGGCAG